TTCAGGGTTTTCTCCTTCTCTCTCTCAGTAAATGACAAGCAGGGTCATTTAAGTTATTTGACCTTAAATTATATATATATATAATAATATAAATTTTCTGACCTGCTCCACCTACAGGTTACATCAGGTCACTTTATAATTTGTTAATGCCTGGCTATAAGAAAACCCACACCCTCTGCTGTGTGTGGGGTTTACACATGACGAGAAGGAAGAAAGACTGGATGAGTAATCCCAGCATGGCTTAGTGGATCACTGTGTTTTACGTTTTTAGTCAGACCCATGTTTTTTTTTTTCTTTTTAAGGTTACCCAAACACAAGTTACAGACTGACCTGCACGCTAACAATATAGAGACTGTTGTACCTGTGACTCTGTGAGGGCTCCTCTCTTGTTTCTCTCCACAGCGCCTTCCAGTGAATCTCTAAAACCTGACAGTAAGCAAAGGAAATGTTAGATTATTCCTGTGTGTGTGAGTGTGTGTGTACTTTTCCAAATATGATTTCCTACCTGGCGAGGTCCTGTTTTGATAAAGTACTGGGCCAGCTCCAGGGCTGCCAGAGCATCCTCAGTTGGATGATGACCCAACATATCTTCTGTTTGTATTTTCCTCCTGAGATACGAGTGGAAAATTAGGTTATCGATCACAGTGGGACAGAAATATTTAGAGATAACACGAGAACTCACTTCAGTATGATCCCAGTCAGAACCTTGAGCTTAAACCTTCGCCCACACTCCCTCTTGTACAGCAGTGACGTGTCAATTACATGCTTGTGGATGAGCTGCGGGGCGGGCACAGACGCAACATGGTTTACAGTTCATGTTAATGAAAAAACTGAAGTATTTCTTTTAAGATATTTTCTCTGAAATTACAGGACATGATTACTGCTGGAATAAAGTACTATTTCAGCCAAGTCAAGATGATCATGTTCTAACATTTCTGATAAATGTTAAAAAGCTGCCAATATCCTGCACACAGTGTTTTGTTTTAATAATTTGTTTTTTGTGAGCCATGACTTCATCAGAAGGTTTGAAAGAAATCACTCACTTTCAAAGCTATAAGGTCATGTTCAAGAGAATGGCCCACCAGAACTGCCTCATGTGGCAAAATCCTAATAAGCATTTCTTGAACATCCTGCAGAGTCGTTGTTACTGGTTGCAACATCGCAGGTGTGATACCAGAGAATCTATCAGGAGATACGAGCAGTGTTGGAGAAAGAATTTCATGAATATGTTTCTCTAAGATGTAACATATGACACTGACTGACACAGATTCCTGTACAAACATAATGTGACTCTTAACAATTTATTAAAACTCGAGACCATAAAAAAGCGTGTGTACTTGGTACAGTAGTTGAGAATGTGGTTCGGAGGTTTCACCAGCTCATCCATTAAACACTTCCCATCACCGTCCACCAGAGAAACACGAGTTAGCTCTTTTCCATCTTTTGTTACACACTGAAACATAAAATAAACATAACAGTGAGTGAATGCAAAAACTCAATCATACTAAAAATTGCAGGAAAAAAGCTACAAATCGATGTTATGGATGTAACCTTTTGTGCTGCAGCTGTTATAGGCATAGTCAATGAGATGCTAACACAGGCATGTGAGTGGAAGCTTCCTATTTACAGAGGCACACTGCCCTGCTGGGAAACACTGGGCAAAGAAATGGACATAGTGCTACAGTTTGGTTTTGTTTGTTTGTTTATTTTTAATCTGGGATCTGGTTTTCAAAAGTGTTGGGTAAGTCAAAAATCAGCCACACAATATAGCGCCGTACAGGTTGTTAGCTGTCAGCTGCACCTCTGTGATGCCACCTGATTCCATCGTGGAAAATGGGAAGTGACAAAATATTTTAGTCTCTCACCATTTCACAGTCGATTCCAAAGAGGGGGCTGCTGTCAGTCACACAGTCAGCGCAGTTTGTACACACAAATTCCTCAAAGCCGGGCATTCCTGTTTGAAAACAAATAAACCAACAGGTGAGGAGGAGACGCTGAGCCCACACAACACCATACCACTCATATTCAAGGTCAAAGCTCAAAGTAAATCTCGCCACTCAGCACTCATGTTGAAATGCCCCAGGTTGGCTTATTTTATTTTTCCATCTAATATTTGGTAATTTTGTCACAAGATATAGTTTAAAAAATATCAGATTACTGTTTTAACACACTAAACCCCAAATGGGCCCTGATCCTTCAGAGATCAGTGCTCAGGAGCACAGAATAAAGCTCTGTATGAATGGCTTGTAGTAAAAAGCACCTTGGGTTGTCAGAGTAGAAAAGTGTTAGATAGAAACAAGAAGAAGCCAAGTGCCAATTAAAAAAAAGGATGGAAAACAGAAACAATTGTAATTGATCCCAGTATGAACATCTATTTTTCTTTTCCTTTTTGTTGGATGGCCATGACAACATTAAAAAAAATGCATCGACAGAAAAAAGATCCCTCTCATCTCTTATTTCATGATTTTTTTTTTATTACCAAATGTAATATTTGTAATATTGTGTCAACTCTTAGTTGACACAATATTACAAAGAGAAAAATTCTTACCTTTAACAGGGTAGTTATTCTTGATCATCTCATCCTCTGTGAGAACATATGCTGTGAGTCCTCTCCTCTCGGTCCCAAACACAGTGATGATTGGGTGGTTCTTCATCGCTGCACCAGTGCACAGAAAAAGTGAACACAGGTACAGAGAAGAGCAAAAACCTTACATGAAAACTCAAAAACACCAGAGATCGAATATTCTTCACTTAATGTTACAGTATAATAATATGATGAATATTAATAAGAAAAGATAATAGGAGCTAAATGAATCCATCATCCATCACATGATTCTCACCTTCCTGCAGTTCCTCATCTGGTTTGGAGACAGACAAACTGTCCTGTTTGGGAACTTGACTGGAAAAGATTCCAGATACTACATCTACAGATGATGGCGTGAAGGTGACCCTCTAAAAAAAGTAAGATTTATTTATTTTTTTTGCTAAAGTGCTACGAATATGACTTCACTCATAAATAATTTGATTTGCTGTGTTTATTTTCCCTCTTACAGAAGTGTAGCTGGTCCTGAGGTGCTGCAGACAGAGGTAGTGTTTGTAAAAGTGATTCTGTGTCAGGTCCTCCACAATCACAACATTTACACCTTTAACCTTTCTGTGATGGCGGAGACGGCACCAGCTGGTAGACAGAAAAAAACACATTTTAAATTATTATTATTATGTGAGTATAACGGCACAGTATGAGTTACTGAGGACTCTTTGACACCAGCTGATGGGGTAGATAACACATTACTACTGCAGCTGTTACCTGGGCTTTTTGATGCCACCTGCTTTCCCGAGAGCGGCATACTGCAGCAGCTCTGTCAGTTCATTCAGGGCGATCGGTTGCTGAAGGCAGTCAGGCAATACCGAAACCCTTGGCAAGCAAGAGGCAGGTCCACACTGCAGCACCTCATCATCTCGCTGTTCAGTTTTGAATCTCTTAGCCTCCTCCTGAGCTGTGTGGGTGCTGTTTTTCCTTTTCTTTGCTTTGCACTTTGCAACTGTGGAAGACTCCATGTTCCAGCCAATTATATTTACACTGGAAGGCAAACCAAAAACATATTTCAGTTTGGGTAGAGCTAAGACTTACTGATGCTCCTTTTTAAATGTGCAATGTTTGTAGGTTCAAATAAGTGCAGAGCAATGCAGCCTTGTTCTGTAGAGCTGGAGCTCAAACTTTAGAGTTACTAATATAGCTGTGGGCATTAAAAACAGCTAAGAATCACACGCTGTCAGTGAGCTTTTTCATTTTCATGTTTACTTAATTTTGGAGATGGTAATTGTTCGTTGAACTGTATTTTAGACAGGCAGTTTAAACCAAAATAAAATACAGAAAGACAATACTACGTTTACAGCACATTACCCAGAGCTGGGGAACTGAAAACACAGCGAAGCCATTTGTTATCAACAAAAGTTCAGTTTCACAAATTAAAGTGCTCATAAATGCTGGTTCAGCGGACGACTTTCTTATTCTTCTCTTTCTGGTTAGTTAGTTTATTTATATCAGAGTCACAGTTACACAGGAAATCCCAACCTAGCTGAAATTTTAGTTTAAATCAAATTTGAAGTCCGGTATACGCGTGAGATGTATAATAAGGGTAAAATTGGGTAAATACCACACGCCATAGGTCCGGTTTGGTCCAAAATTATATGTTTCTACCAATATCTTCAGTTAGTAACACATGGCTAAAGCATGTGTTACTAGTTTTGTCTTGTAAGTGCAAATAAAAACAGGTACTAGCACTACTTCCTGTCTGTAACTTTAAAAATAAAACACGAGTAGCTACGGCTATGTGCATGTAGCAGAATTGTTGTTTATAGATTAGCATTTTCTAGTTAGTTTTTAATTTTTATTCCATTTTGGCTTTTTTGTTTAAAATTGAGCTTGATTTCAGTTAGTTTCCAGGGGGAATTTTCTTTGTTTTAATTTAGTTATTGTTATTTAATGTTTAGATTTGTTTGCTAATGGTTTCAGTGTTATTTTTCACAATTTTTTCAATTATTATTGTATGAAGCACATATTTCAGGGGCAAGCTTCAGGAAAATCAGCAAAGTTACTACAATGAAAACACAGCACTTTTTAAAAGCAGCTGGCTCACAGGCATGCAGACAACCACAATCTCAGTATACACGACGTCAGTGCCTCATCAAGCATGTTGTAATAAAGTTTTTACCAAACAGATACTAAAACAGGATATTTCATCTATAGTTTTTATTCTTTTTGTTTTAAACATTTTTCGAGTTCACAAAACCGTTTCTGATCGTTTAATTTGACGTTTTTAAGTCGTTTTTATTTTTGTTTAAGTTTTTACAAAAGTGGAGTATTTTTCACACATTTAGTCTTAGATTTTGTTCAGTTTTTTGTTAACTATATAACAACCTAGCTGCTTTGAGTGTTAAGAGGTCTTTTATTTTGATAAGAAATCGTAAGACGGCAACAGAAGCTCGACTATTTTTGACTCTACAGTGATGCCTGCCGACTTGCAGGCTTAAATAATCGAGCTCGGAGCTACAGATGCCGTTTTGAAAGAAACAGCGCGAATTCCCCGAGTTTTCAATTAATGGCTAAAGTCAAGCTCCTGCTATAGTTCACAGTTTCTCATAGAAAGACGGTCGCGGAAACATCACCGTGGCAAAATTAAATAACAGCTATGACCACAAAGAAATTGGCGAAGTAAGTAAAATTAGCCTGTTTGCTGGCTTATCTGCTAACCTAAACAAACTGAACAAAGGAATGTGTTTTGAAAGCAACGAATAAGTTTATGTCGATTACAAGTTACGTTTTTCAATATTGTTTTAGATAAATGCTATAAGTACATCTGCGAGGACAGCGTATTCAGTTAAAAGTAGAATTGTGGTTCACTGTAAACGTTAAATTCAGGTGTTGTTACGATATACACACTATTTTATCTTCGTCCCTTCGCAGGGAATTAGGATTGTTGAGACAGCGGAGCAAGTCCTCTGTGTCGAAGAAATCTGTGGTATCAAGTGAGTATGCCACGTTCAAATCGGATTTGTTTGACAGTTGATTTTTTTAAACACTGGATCATGGCTGTGAAAACTGTCTGGTTCTTTCAGATCAAATATTTTCTTATCTGATTGTGATCGACTTTGAGTCCACTTGCTGGAGAGAGAAAAACAACCGCAGCCAAGAAATTAGTAAGGAGCAGATTTAACATTCACAGTTTACATCCGGGTGATGTCCTTACTGTTTTAACACCGGCCCATCTTTTCTTTCTTCCTCCCTGCAGTCGAGTTTCCTGCTGTTCTGCTGAACACGTCCACGGGGGAGATGGAGTCTGAATTTCACACTTATGTTCAACCCCAGGAGCACCCCATCCTGTCTGACTTCTGCACTGAGCTGACTGGGATTACACAGGTGTCTGCAGCAAACACGTTTAAAAATGCCAGCATGCTCTGTGTTACATTACAACCAACTCTTATTTCTCTCTTGTACAGATGCAGGTTGAAGCAGGGATCCCGCTTCAGATCTGTCTCTCGCGGTTCAGCCGTTGGCTCCAAAACCTTCAGCTCGAAATGGGAGTGGCCTTTGCCAACAAAGACCAGAGATGTTCGGGACCATCTCAAAAGCTGTGTACTTTCCTCACGTGGTCAGGTAAAAGTTCTCAGTATATTGGTCTACACATCTGTAAGCTCAGCATTGCTATGAATTGACATTGGTGAACCACTGGGGTCTCAATTGTATTTTTAAACTAGCTATAGAGAACCATTTAATCTGCTCATTTACTGCAGTTCTTAAGACTATTTAAGGTATTAAATGGTATAAAATGAGCAAAAGTGCACTGAAATTTGTGTTCTTTGGTCTCTGCTGGGTGTCAGACTGGGATCTTGGAGTTTGTCTGCAGTACGAGTGTAAACGCAAACAGCTTCATAAACCTGATGTTCTCAACAGCTGGATAGACCTGAGAAGCACATACCGGGTAAGAGTTTCAAAGGCGTCTTTGTTTATTGTATGTTTTATTTAAGCATAAAATGTTTAAATGGGTGTCAGTTTTAAGGTAAAAGCACAAAGACTAGAATACAGATTTAAGTGAGTCCAAAAAGGCATATCTTATGGAGTAAAAGGAGTACATAAGATGTCACAGACTGTGTAATTGAGCTGATTTACTCTAATTACCTCTGCTCATGTGGTTGTTTCTCTAACTTCTTTTTGTTTTTCCAGCTTTTTTACAACAGGAAACCCAAAGGCCTGAATGGAGCTCTTCAGGATCTCGGAATACAGTTTTCGGGCAGAGAACATTCTGGTATGTGACCAAGTGTAGATAATTCTGTATTACACACGACCATCAACCTAACGGCCTAACCCTTCTTTGTTTTCTCTCTCAGGTTTAGATGATGCCCGAAACACAGCTCAGCTGGCAGCAAGAATGATGAGGGATGGGTGCATAATGAAGGTTACTAGGAGCCTGGAGAGGGTGAGTGGCCAGCCGATGTCGCCCTTAACGAACCCCAACTCTGGAAATCCTAGCATCCCTCATCATCTTCCAAATTTAAAAGCTCTGTGAAGATAATAATATAAAGGAAATTTGCTCTGTGCAAAAACATTTTGATTGTGGACATTTTTTTAAAAATGTTGTACTGATTTAGATTTTATTTATTAATAAAATTATATCTTTAAGTTTGTATTTTGTGTGCTTGGAGAGAAGACAACATTAGAACTAAGTATACTATATTGCCAAAGGTGTTTGCTCGTCTGCCTTCACACACATATGAACTTTAGTGACGTCCCATTTTTAATCCAAAGAGGTTTATGTCAGTTCACCCTTTGTAGCTGTGATAGCTTCAGCTCTTCTGGGAAACCTTTCCACTGGGTTTAGGACTGTTTATGGGAATTTCTGACCGTTGTCTGGAATCACATTTGTAAGGTCAGACACTGATGTTGGATGAGAAGGCCTGGCTCGGAGTTTCTACACTAACTTATCCCAAAGGTGTTCCATTGGGTTCAAGTCAGGACTCTGTGCAGGCCATTCTTTCACACCTGCATCCATGGAAATAACTGGAAAACCTGAGTTTGGAAATCCAATTATTTTGCTGGCTGAGGGAATGCTTTTGGCAATATAGTTTATGTAACTCAGAAGAAGTGCTTCCAGAGTTAATTTGATAGTTAATGGGTTGTACCATTCAGATACTGATTTAAAATCTTCTCTGTGTCCTGTAGACCCCGGTGATGGCCAAACCAGTGTTTGGAAACACTTCCTGTCCTGCAGACAAGAAAGAAAAACCTAATGAGAATGAAAAGAAAAATGCAGTCATCCGTAGCAAACACTCATCATTTAAAATTCCCCTCAAAGCTTGTCAAAAACAACCATGTCCCGAGGAGATTGCTCAAAACTTTGCCACAGAGAAAAACCCAAGCTCCGTTTACAAATCTGCTCAAATCTGTCAAAGCCTGATCTCACCAAAGACTCTTCTGAACGGCACGATGGCGCCGCTGTTGAGGCACGGCAGGAAATCAGTCACAGCAGAGGCTGCCCCTAGCCTTTCCACCTCAGTTGTTACAAACTGTGTTTCTCCCCAGAATAACAATAGCAGTCTTATTCTGTGTTCCACTACCGTGAGCTGCTTTTCAAATCAGTCTCCACCAAACTGGGCCTCAAAAACAGAAGCAATGCTAGGATCCACGGAGAAAGAGGAGGGTGCGGAGCTTTTAGTGGAAACTGAGGAGAGGTGCGGCTCATATGACGACGTGGTGTTGGAGGGTGATGTTAATGAAGCAAATGATGAATGTGATGCAGAGTACATGTCCGAGTTTGATAGTGGATCTTATAATTGGTTAGAGCAGCATACTTCACATTCAGCAGGAAGTCGGCTCACTTTGAATGATGATATGAGAGAATCAACTGGAAAGAGCTCTAAAATGCAAAAGATTACCACAGATTCTACCAGTAAACGTCAAAAATCTCATTGTTGTATCTTAACAGCAATGAACAACAGAACAACAACAGAAACGATGCATTCAGTGACCTCAGATATTTATTTTGCTGTGCCTAAAACTGTTAACATTGGTAAATCAAATCAGTGCAACACAGGACTTAGAACCTCCCTCCAACTTCACAAAACATCTTATGTTCCCACTAAGAACTGTTCGATTAGGCCTAATCCTTTTGTCCCAGAAAAAACCTCCACCCCCAACACGTCCTTTGCCCGGCCCAAACCCGCCATCACACAAATCCCAAAACATAAAGACACTCTGAGATCCTCCTTTACCATCTACACCGAGCCGGCCAAACAAGCTACAGCTCCCTTGCGTCCTTCCTCACACGGCAGTGTCCTCTCCTCTTTGTCAACCAACGCTCTCCCCTCTCGTGCCGACCGTTCCATCATTTCTGTGAGAGGAGCTCAGAAGATCACTTCTCCACTGTGCGCGTGCGGCCGTCGTGCAAAGCGTCAGGTCGTGTCAAACGGCGGTCCAAACCACGGTCGAGGGTTTTATTGCTGCCCAGTCCGCCGATCGGGCAGCGGAGGACGGATGGAGAAAGGGTGCGAGTTTTTTAAGTGGGAGTCGGCCGTGATGAAGAGCGCATCAGCGGCCGCTCCTGCTGTCGGATCCTCTGTTTCACTCTGTCAGCTCAACTCCACTGTGTCCCATCGTCCAGCCCACACGTCACTGCTAAGGAAAAGCTACTGAAATCCTCCATCATACATTAGTACAGGGGTAGGCAACTCCAGGCCTCGAGTGCCGGTGTCCTGGAGGTTTTAGATGTGCCCATGATCCATCACAGCTGATTTAAAGGGCTAAATGACTCCTCAGCATTTCTTGAAGTTCTCCAGAGGCCTGGTAATGAACTAATCATTTGATTCAGGTGTGTTAACCCAGGGTGCGATCTAAAACCTGCAGGACACCAGCACTCGAGGCCTTGAGTTGCCTACCCCTGCATTAGTATTATTGGTGGAAAGGCTAGTATTATGGCATCAATGCCAATCAATATCACAAACTAACCACCTCTGATTACCAGTTTTAATTAACTCTTTATATAAATATAGGCATTTATATACATTTGTAACTTTACATACTTGTTAATAATTTCAAACTGAATTTCTGTTATCACTGTGGTCCACCTGGAGAACCTTTGAGACACACCAGGGGGACCTGGCCCACGTGTTTGGGAAACACTGGATTCATTCATTACTACACTGATCAATAACTGGGGCCACTCAAAAGAGAAAATAATTTATTTTTATGTTGTTTATATTAAATATATTTTTTAATTTGAATCAAGGATCCATTAAATTATTTTATAATAATAAAGTTGATTATATTTGTCTGCAGGTAGAGAGGAACCATGATCTTTAACAGAGTATAGAAAGTATTGACCACCAGAAGGCAACTTCTCTGTTGGTGTTTAGAATATCACAAAAACAACTAGCTGGTATAAGCAGAGTGTGGAAAAAGTAACTACATATAACAAATGTTAGGGAATTCTGCTTGTATTGCATTTTTGAAATAAATATCAGCTAATGTATCAGAATATTGGCTTTTTATATCGCTAAATATTGGTAGAAGCATTAGTCCTAAAAATTGGTCAGGTCACGTTTGAATCTGTAGGAGCCAGAACTCAGGCTGAGTTTTAGTAGCTCAAATAATTCACTCAATGACAAGCAATTCAGTGTATAACTGTTGTGTAATTAGTTTGGTTAAAATTCTGTCTCTCTCCATTAATATGAAAATATTATTAAAAATGTGAGACTGTTCATTTCTTTGTAAGCTAGCAAACTTACAGATTCACCTGCGGTTGAAATAATTATTTCCTCGACTATTTCCACTGTGACATAACCTACTGGTTACAGATGGTCCCAGTTTGAAGTTTAAGCTTCCAGTTGAGTGTTGCCACCACTACAAAAAATCAGATGTGACAAGGAAAGGCAGGTCTGACTGTCAAACCACACACTGGCTAATGACTTCTGACTGACAGCTCATTAGGTAATAATAATGTGGTTTTTAAGATAATCTCATGACCAAAATTTAAAAAAAAAAAGACGACTTTATTTATTCAATGTGTTCCAAAATGAGTGACTGAGCCCATAAACTCGAGAGGTCATGTCATGGTGATTTTTCCATAGACTTCAATAGGGCTGGATGTCTTTTTTGGAACCACCGGCATCGCCTTCTAGTGGCTTTCAGATAGTGTTCAGGGTTTTTTTTTTATACTATCACATAATCTACATGTGATAGTATAATTTTTTTTATACCATCTATGGTTCTATTCAATTCAATGCAATTTCAATTCATTTTTATTTATATAGCACCAAATCACAACAAAAGTTGCCTCAAGGCGCTTCATAGATACAGAGGAAAAACCCAACAATCATATGACCCCTTATGAGCAAGCACTTTGGCGACAGTGGGAAGGAAAAACTCCCTTTTAACAGGAAGAAACCTCTGGCAGAACCAGGCTCAGGGAGGGGCGGCCATCTGCTGTGACCGGTTGGGGTGAGAGAAGGAAGACACTCACCCCTAGTGTTGGCTAAAAGAAATCAGTAACTCTTGTGTAACATTGTCTGTGAAATTGAGTTATTTGTAAACACTGATTCCTGATATAAATTACATGGGTGGAAACTCTTTAACACTTATTCATTCAGGATGTACTTTAGCATTGTTTTGGAATGATTTCGAGTTTGACCCCCCTCCCCCAAATATATATCAACCTTATAATGATTATTATTATTTACCAAATACATTTTTTAAATATATGGGTTTTTTTCTTGTCAAACAATATAATGTACAATAGCAATTTTAACAGAAAAAAGATTGTGAACAAGAACAAATGTTTACTGTGACAACATTGTAAATAAAGTTGGGGTTTTTTTTAAGTTATTTTGTATTATTTTAAGAATGTGGTCATTTTTTTGGAAATCTGATACGGTGTCCTAGAGTAGCGTAGTTTAACACGCGGCCAGAGACTTTTGTCCCTCCTGACACGCCGTACAGGATGACCAACAAACGTGCACGGAGACCTCCTTTCTTGGAACGGCTATGGTTTGAACGCACGTGAGGGGGGAAAAGGCTGCACCAGTCCGTCAACTTCACTCGGTGTTTATATTGTTGCTGCAGGTTTAAAATCTCCGACAGTTCGTGTTGAGCTTACGGCTAATACAGGCGAGGAGGTACAATCAAAACAAACACAAAACAGGTAGCCGATAAGCTAGTGAGCCTCCAAACTCCCGGTTTTAGTTCTGTATCTGAAAGCGCTCTGGAAACATGTCAGCCGTGCAAAACGAATCCAGGAAACGGAGCAAGAAGCGCTTTATGGCCGGCCACCACAGCAAGCGGTGGAAGGGCTCCCGGGAGCTGGAGGTGGGCATGCAGGGGATCCTCATCACATGCAACATGAACGAGAGAAAGTGCACGGCGGAGGCCTTGAATCTGCTCGGTGAATACGCAGACAAGCTCTATGGTCTCGAGCAGGTAAGTTTACATTGTTTACATGATTGGATCAAAGGCCTCCGACGAGCAGTGTTTGGGGCTAATATGCTGGATGGTTTGAGTTAAACTAGGATTTAGCTTGCTCTGTTAATGGAGTAAGGGAAAAGCAACGACCTCATACAAGCTATAATGAATATGTGAAGAACAAATGGCTGGTT